ATAATCTCTTGATCAGCTCACACGATTGCATACGCAAAATTCCAATTTTGGGTTTATGACTATCAAGGTTCAACTCTGTAGCCTTGCAATTTTGAATCCAATTTAGGTCAAGAAAAGGGAAAACTAGCCTTCGTGGAGAACTTTTCGACGGATCTAACCTGCATTTGCTTTACACAAAGAGGAAAACCACAAGAACCTCCCACGGTCTCCCCGATGGCAGATACAGTCTTCCATCTCGTTCCACATATCACTTACTTGGATTTTTGGGTCTTATCTTTAAAACTAATACCCACTGATGAAAATCGTTTACCCACAGATAATTTCATGCAAAAAAGAATATATTTAATTATTATTTATTATTTTTTATTATTTAATTTAAAAATAAACTAAAAAATTTGGAATTAAAAACCATAATTTTTTATACCATATTAATATGCGCATTTTGCTATTGGGAAATCTAAAATTTATCTTGTTTTTATGAAGTAGAAGCCGAGAAAAATTATAATGAATTATTTTTAAAATAAGAATTTGTCGACGATGAAAAAAATATTTAAATGGAGCGAATAATGGCTAAATTCGGTAAATTCACAAGGAACTTGAATTATGCAAACGTAGCGTAAGTTTGATTCATGATTTGTTTCTTTGATTTCACATCGTTTTCTTTTTCCTTATTTTTTTTAAATGATTAAATACTATGTTTCATATATTTAACGAAATTATATTTAACGTATGTCAAGTTTATGCTTGTGATTTATGTGGTTATAAATTTGCTTCTTTATTTTAGTTCTTAGCTGATTTATTCTATAATTGATGCTATTTCAATAATATACATACACGTAAATAAATTTGGAATAATATATTTATTAATTTCTTCAATATATATTTTATAATTATTCAACAATAAAAACTTAAATGAAAATATAAATTTTATAAAAAGTTATATTTTCTTGAACCAATTGGGATATCAACTGCGATTAACAAAAATAGTGCTCATTTTTTAAAATTCGCAACAAAGAGTGCCGATCATGTATAATAATGGAAGACACTTTGAGTTTTTGCTATTTCTTTTAATTTTTCAAGAAATACGCTAAAAGATTATTTTATAACCTTAGAGATGAATGAGTTCATGCCAGTTTTCATACTTAGCAATAAGATTTAGAGCTTTCAAAGGTGACCGACAAAAAATTACGAAAGAAAACAAGTATTTTTGAACACTCTACGCCAAGAAATTGATTACTTTAGTCATTATTTTTAATTAAAAGCATAAAATTCCATAAAGCTTAAAGTAAATATTTATGAAAATATGGACATTTTCATAATTAAAAATTGGCTACCACTTTTTTGGTGTAATTTAATAAATATTTGGAATCAAACAATGTTTTTTTGAAGCAATTCAAAATAAATTACGAAATTATTAATTTAAAATTTAAAAAAAAATTGCTAAAAAGTTCGCAAGTATTTAAGGTAGTTCTTTAAAACTGAGCATGTGCTGAAAAAATTACTTTGTAGTGAATCGTTTTTGGCAACTATTAAAAATAAATTTGATTTAAATATCTTAAAAAGCAATTTCCCAATTAAATTATGTACTTTTTGAAAGAAGGCTCAAAACGACTGAAAATTTTCTTGAAATTCCATTTTTCTTTTTTTTTTTTTGTATTAAGCGAGAGGAATTGTGTGGGATCCAAAAAAGTTTATTTTCCTTCCTTAAGCATCATATTTTGGACAATTACTGCAAGGTATTATCATTTGTTATTTTGTTTAATGAAACAAAATAAAATTTGTGGAAAACCCCTGATCGTTTTGAGCTTTTTTTTTATTTTTTTTATTTTATTTTATTTTTTTAAAGTACATGAACTACTTAGAAAATTGCTTGAAACTTTTTGAACTTGAAAGATACTCAAATCAGACTTTTTGTATTAGTTGCCAAATACGATTCACTACAAAGTTGAGAAAAAGTTAAAAAAAATCACTTTTTTTCCCGCGCATGCGATGCACAGTATAAAAGAACTACCTTAAATATTTATACCCTGCGCAGCTTTAAGCAAATTTTTTTTTAAATAACTAATTTTTAAATTGCTCCAAAAATATTTTTTTGATTCCATTAAACTATTTATAGTTATACCAAAAAAATGTAAGGCAAACATATTAGTTTTTTATTAAATTGTCCATATCTCCTTAAATATGAGGGTTGTAAATTAAATAGTGGCAACTTAACCTTGAAACTCACAGAAGAGCGGGTATACGCAAATATGATAAGGGAGCGGTGAGGTGGCGCTGTTGTCGATGTGCAGAGTGCAAGAAACAGTCGATCTGCTTAGAAGGGTAGTTGTTGTGTGGCGTTAAAGTGAGGAGTTTCGTTTCCATCGCTCTAAAGCATGTTTTCAAAAGGCTTAATGACTAAAAAAGAGGAACCCATCGTGCTACTGTCCTATACTGGAAAGTATTTGCGCCACAGGCTTCTACTAATCCTCAATTGCATTCTGTTGTATTTTTGCCACGGGCAACCTCGATTTTAAGTCACGACCGCTGATCACCTTTTGAAAACATGCTTTAGAGCGATGGAAACAAAACTCCTCACTTTAACGCAACACAACAACTACCCTTCTAAGCAGAACGACTGTTTTTTACACTCTACGCATCGACAACAGCGCCACCTCTCCGCTCCCACATCCTATTTGCGCATGCCCGCCCTTCTGTGAATTTCAAGGTTAAGTTGCCACTATTTAATTTAAAACCCTCGTATTTACTCTAGGTTTAAGAAATTTTATGCAGTTATTTCAATCAACAACTAATATAATCTATATTGTTGCAGAGGGATATATTGTTATATCGAGGACCTACATTTCGTATGTTATATGTGTATTAACTGTAAATGTTTTATGCAAAAAATCAATTTGCAGAGTGTTAATTATGATTAAATATTTAAAACAATTGAAATAAAATAAGATCGTAAACATACCTGAAAACCGTATTTATTGAAAGTAATCTTTCTGTTTGTTTATTCATTTTTTTGACTGCCAGTCAACCAACAAAGAATGCATTGAGCACGAAAATGATTTTCGATTGTGAATCCACCCATCGTCTACGGAAAAAAATTCTCTCTCAGGTGTCATGCTTATAGTCATTTGTGACATCAGCTTTTAACATAAAGGAAATCAGATAGGAATGTTACAACTGTAAAGAGATAAGGAAGGCAAGAATGGAAGCTCTTGAGGTGGTCAGTAGTGAGTCTTCTCTTGTCAGAAAAGATGGAAAAAACGGCAAAGATGATAAAATAAGATTTTTTACTTTATTTGAAAATCAGTAATAAATGGATAAAATAAGGTTGAAATTTGAAGAGAAAAAAATCGTTTTACAGGGGCTTGCTGCTTCAGAGAATATCGTAATATTGAGAGGAGCATGACATTTATTTATATGGAAGTTCGTCGGGACCACGAAGCATTATCGTAATAAAGGGAATTATTGTTGTATTGTTGGATATCGTAGTAGCGAGAACTCACGGTATATCTATATACAGGGTTATTCATAATTCCCTCCGGGCAGGAACTGGACTATCGCATTGATGTATGCCGTGTGACCAAGGGTTCACACATAGAACACCTGTAATGTATGTAAGTAAAACTTGAATAGTTTCGGAATAAATTTCATATGTTTCTTTTTTTCATATTCGTCTTCTTCTTTTTTTTACTATAACGCTTCGAAACCCCGTAGGGAATTATGAACAACCCTGTATGTATATATATATAT